TAGAGAATTTCAAGCTCTATCAGAATACATAATTACTTTTCTCAAAAAATGGTACTATAGTGATAAAAAATTTAAAAAACTAATTTTGACGACAGTGACAGATCAAGTTTATGGGAATCTGAACATGAGGGTGCTTTCATTGTTCTCAATTTATTTTGATAATGAATAGGTCGAAACTAAAATCTAATTATACAGAATGATAGAAAACTCCACGGGCTTTCAGAATATGTAATTACTTTTAAAAAAGTGTGGTCTTATAGTGGAAATATATTCGAAATACCGAGTCTAACTATTTTTTTCCAGGGGGATATATAGACAGAGATAGATAGATAGTTTTACCGCCGGTATACCGCGGTACTCAAACCAACCCACCGGTATTCTCGACTACCGCGGTATACCGGCGTTAGTTCAAGTAAATGTATGACATGGGAGAAATCATACGTAGCATCAGCATATATTTCTCGCAACATTGAAGCAATATTAAACAAATCAACAGATGATATAAAAATAGGAACTTTATTTCTTTAGCATCTTCATATTCTTCATCATCATAATATATATCTTTTATGATACAATGAATGATTTATTTTCATCTATTAGAATATTTTGATTCATTTCCACATGATTGTTCTAATTCATCTATACTTGTTTCATGTAAACTAAAGTTTTATTTTTTCTATGATAGGTCCAATAATTTTTTACCTGTAGTAACTTTGAAATATCAATTATTCTTAATTGATATACTCCTACAATTAGTTTTGATTTCTTTATATAGTCATTAAATATTCATATTGAAAAACCTGTACCACATCCTCAGTTAGAAATATGTTAAATTTTGTAAACGTAAAATATGTTATTTTTATTTGAAAAACGCTAAATATGTATATATACCTGGTAATAGATAAAGTCACAAGACTGGAAAAAAAATCAGACGCTTCTTTTTTCTTGTCTGAGACAATGAACATTAAAATGAAAATATAACAATAATGCTTATTTAAAATTTATGTAGGTTAAAAGAAGTACGTCAGAACAGTAAGATTATATTTAGGACAGATAAAGAGTAAGGAAAATAAAAAAAAATTAATTTCCTCTATAATCATTTCAACTTTCATACTTAACCTTTAATATTAGTGACTGTTAATGAATCGTATTTATTGATTTTAAATTTATTGATCATAAATGATACTGTCCTTAAATTCCACAATTTCTCTTTATATTATCATGCGAGCATTTTCGAGAGTTATATTTAAGAGCATAGTTAAAAAAATCAAAAAAATGCTTCAAGAGTTTATAGAAAATTTTCTAGAGTGTAACGATTGATCACTCGCTTTTATTTTAATAGTAAACCAACTGATCAAGACTAGTTCAACCGATTCACATCGGTGCTTTTACTTGTAAAAGAAAAGCCTTTCTTAGTTGAATTGAAGAAACATTTACTGGAAAGATTGAGGTCGCAAATCAATATCATACATCAAATGTCGTAAACAATCATTCCAATTACTACTTTCTCTTCTCTACATGAGAAGATTCAAGAAAATAATTGGTCTATAATGAAAGCGTATGTTTGGTCTCTTGTCCGCATTAAAAAAAATACAATGTTGATGTTGTTTACGAAAGAAAAACACAAGCATCTACTATTTTTCTTTTACTATTCTTTAAATAGTATGAAAAACAGCATATAGTTTTCGTTACCCCTTCACTCCTATATAATTTTTTTAATATATGAGTCTGTACGCCATGCATAAGTGATTAATATGACTTATTTTTTTCTGAGATTAGCATCGTTCGTTCTTATTTTGTTTGTAGTAATATATCGGTACATGTCGTATCCATCGTTTGACGTATTCAAAGGTATTAGTGTTTTTTCTACGTGAGATAAGTACAGATAGTCAAAAAAGTATATGGATACTAATCTATGTTTTCATATGTCATGTTTCACTCTCTAGAAGCAATAGATGGACTTAGTTTTCTTCTATGTCTTCTGTAGCAATCAAACATTTTACGAATATGATTTTGATCTCTTCAGATTTTTCCTATAAAAATCATGGTTTTCTTTTCTCATTGAGATGAGTTCAGAAATTTTTTCATTGAGAAAAAAAGAATATAGTTTTTCCTCAAAACACATCGTTAGGTAAAGTAAAATCAATTTTACCCTCTGGTGTGACTTTCTTTGGCAATACAATCGATTTATAACTACTTGGAGTATAGGAAAAGTTGTGACTGATATATTTTAGTTTCTCAAAACAAAACATAGAGAAACTTTTTCTGTGTATGATTGGAGATTAAAAAGTTATGTTTTCTATTTCTGTAATAGTTAGTCATTAATCAATTAGTGTTATCATAACAAAATTTTGATAAGAGCAGTTTGCTTTGATATGTGAAGGTGAAATTAAATCACATGTTTTCGTTTGTTGTGTATCCCTTTCTTTATGTTCTTTTGCTCTTCTAGTCTATTTTGTTTTGTCTCGTGTTCTCTAATATCTACCTGTAATTTTCTAGATCTGGCATCATGTGATTTTAGTTTATTCAATTGGTTAAAACAAAATCCAAGCCATTAAAATATCTCCAAAGTTTTGAAGCATAAGATAAATAATTTTATGAAGTCTTTGAATACTAAAGAGTTTAACGATGCTGACACACGAGTTTCTTGCATATAATTGAGTTTGATTAAGTCGAAAGATTATTTCGAAGATTTAATTACATGATGACTTGATGAAATTGTTTCTATGTATCACTCTACAAACATCAGAATATATGTTTACGGACAAATATTAAAACATACGAGAGAAAATAAAAAAAGAGAAAGACAAGGCAAATGTCAAATAACAACATTTTATTTTATCTTTACCTTCGCATATCAAAGCAAACTGTTCGTATCGAAATTTTGTTATTATAACACCAATTGATGAATGACTAACTATCAGAGAAATATTAAGCATAACTTTTTCCTCTCCAATCATACACAGAAAAAGTGTCTCTGTGTTTCTTATAAGAAATTAAAACATAGCAGTCACTACTTTTCTTAGGTCCAAGTAGTTATCAATCGATTACATTGCCAACGAAAATTCCATCAATAGGTACAGCTGATTTCATTTTATCTAACAATGTGTTTTGAGGAAAAACTATATTCTTTTTTTCTCAATGAAAAAACTTCTGAACTCACCTTAATGAAAAAAGAAAACCATGATTTTCATAGAAAAAAATCTGAAGACATCGAAATTATAATCGAAAAATGTTTTATTGTTATAGAAGATATACAAGGAAACTAGGTTCATTTATTGAGTAATTTCAACTTTGGTCGAAAGTAAAAATATTGGAGGACAAAAATATCGACACAGATTTAGACTTTTTTTTACCGAGCATATAAAGTAATCAAGAGTTTAATGTAGACGAGTTTTTTTTTATTAAGGGTGTGAGTGTGGGTGCGGATCTTTGAGTAATTTTACTTTTAAAATTTTTACAGTTCGACGTTTTTACCTTTCGACATTTTGCTTTCTACCAAAGTTGAGAGAATCCATCTATTGTTTCTAGAGAGTGAAACATGATATATGAAAATATAGATTGTAGTTTGCATACTTCTTTGCTTATCTATATCAAATGTACATCAATGATATTGATCATAGTCAGGCACATTGCAATTTGGTTTCTGTTAACCCTAACAGTTTTTATATGGTTATCAATATGCAATACGAAATATTACACAATTTTGTTTGAAGCTTTTCTCAATGATCCATATTTGGATATTCGAGAAGTTATTGCGGTTCATATTTAGAACTGATACGGTCTGGTTTTCATCGGTTGCTTTGCTGTTTTTTTTATTGATAGTTTTCGAAAATTAAAGCTGATCTATTGGCTAGTTTTTAATGATTTCTAAGATTTCATGATAAAAGATATTTGAACCCGACATTTTTTAAATGATAAAGTTCTAGTCAATGACAAAGTATCAGGTTTCTATATTCGTTCTAAATCAAAGACTTTTCATCTCAAAATATCGATTGTATTTTGTTTTGTACTACTTTGAACTGGATCTTATAAAATACAAATACATAGTAGTTTTCAGTTAATGCTTCTATTACTAAATATCAGGATAAACGCCTTTCTATTACCATGATTTCACCAATAATTAGCATCATGCAGTCGTGAAAAAATTTCGAGATTAACCCTAACAGAATAGAACTTGTGATTATAAAATGCGTTCTATGTAATGTTCAAGAGTGGCTGCATGAGTCTAAGCTACATTTCAAAAACGGAAACTAAGAATTCTTATTTAGTAGTTTTATTTTACAGAATCTGAAGGCTCCTACAGATACGTACATATACAACTATGAGAACAAAATTGGTGTCTCTTCAGTAATTACACCAGCGCTTCTTTTCCCTTCTTTCTCTGTTTGTAGTTGAATGCTTTCTATTTTGTTTCTGTCTATTCACATAAAGCCTGGAGAGAAATCGAGAAGCCTTTTCTTTGGAAAATGAAAAAGCAGAAAAATGCAGAGTTTCGATTGAACCTACTCTTACGAGAATACGGATAATTTTCATCTAATAAACGTGTTGAATGAGTTTTACTCTCGAAACGCGAGACTATGAAATATGTGTTCTACGCTCCCATCAAAGTTATTTATTGTTCTTTTTTTTGTTGTCTCTACTCTAGATTAATTTAGTCGTCATGGATAATCAATACTTATCGGACGCTCCCGAAGATCTTGAAGAGCAGCTTTCTGGCGAATGCATACAGGTCACCGAATCAATCGGAAATACAACAAATCAAAGAAATGGACTTATAGTTAATGACAATACAAACAAACCACGCAAGAGCTCAATACCTGTGTATGCATCTTTCCTTTGAATTTCAATCGTAGTTCATTTTTATTTTCGTTAGGATACACTTGTATGAGGCAAACTCGAAGCGTCGTATGCTGTTAGTTTGGTTTATTTTATTTACAATCATATTAATGGCCATCGGTATACTCATAGTTTGCTTTACTTCACCAAAACCACAAAGTATGTATGTGTATTGTGCTTTTTCTATTTAGCTTTTAATTAAAGTAGACTAACCAACGAGTGCTGAACATATATATTCATTGGAGACGATAAGTAGAAATGATAAACAACTTTTCATATTTGTTAGCTCTTATAAAAATGACGAGCGAGAACAATGAATGTAAACGTGTCAACACGCTCATATGCTCTCATCCTTACTGAGATCTACTCACATCTTGGGATAGCATATCAGAAGCATGAAAAAATCTGTTTCTCATTTTTTCTTGAAAATGGTAATATTATATTATATTTTCGTTTCGATATAAATAACTATTGGCAGTTGTGAAAATCATGTCATCAAGAAGGAACAATAAGACAGTATAGAACAGAGTATGTTAAAGTTCATATTGCGAGAAAAATAAAGATCCAGTCTAACAGTGATACGAAAAAAACTTAACTAGATATTTTAATTATCTCACAAATGAATGCACGATTGAAATAAAAGAGTCTATTGGTGAAACCCGAAACAATGTAGATAAAATCATAGCTGACTTCTCTTTGAATTTCATACTCCAGTAATTTAAAACGTTTCTTTACTTATCGATAAAGATATTTTCAAAACTCACTTTCAGATGTCGATGCACAAAAAAAGCCCATTATTATATTCATTATAACATGAATAGGTGAATGTAAATATTCATCCTACTTAAAAAACCAAGACTTGATGTGTTTTCTTAACGCAAACAAAAAAATAATTCGCAGTTTGGTGTGTAATTAAATAAAAATGTTTCCGTGACATATACTTGTAAAAAAAAGAAGTAAAAATACGAATATATTTTTTTTAAATACAAGCGAAATACTTTTACTTGTGTTATTCTAGTCAGACAAAAATTTTGAAAAACGCGTTTAAACGCACAATCGGAAACCGCGACTGTGATCCATTAACGCTCATTTAAAAAACGCACGGAAACGCGTTTATTGGCGTTTTTCGTAACTTTATGAGTCTAAGCGGCGAAAATTCCAGTTTTTGAGCGTTAAAACGCACTATTATTCCAGAACTTAAAAAAAAAGGTTTTAACGCTCAAAAATTGGAGTTTTCGCCGTTTCAACGCCCATAAAGTTACAAAAAACGTCAATAAACGCGTTTTCGTACGTTTTTTAAATGAGCGTTAATGGATCACAGCCGCAGTTCCCGACTGTGCGTTTAAACGCGTTTTTCAAAACTTTTGTCTGAGTGGGATACGAGTAAATCTGTACAGCAGTACTTTTATGAATAATATTCTGAGTATATAAACAGTATTCATACACATCAAATGACTCGAATACATGCACGAGTAAATGTTAGAATAACTTTATCAAATTAGAGTTGCACCTTTTTTTTTATCCCATTGTCATTCTAATTGTGTAAGAAAAGCTATGTCTAAACTTTTTTTTAATATCACATTTCATAAAAACATGATGATCGAAATAGTTCCAACCTAGTGACAAACTAATATTTGCCTTGTCGTAACAAAAAGAAACAAGAGTAGAAAATAAATTCGATAAATATATTTTAGTATATTTTCTCATCATGCATTTTCTTAATAATGATACCTGTTAATTAGAGCAACTTAGATGAATTATTAAAATGCATGAAATTTGTTACCAAAGTGGAACAAGATTAAAGTTTTGATTTTTCGTTATACGGTGATAATTTTTTCTTTCTGTTATCAATGCAAACATGGTAACTAACAATTCTTATAGATCTACATTAAAATAAAGATTATAACTGAATATTATATCAGACCTATCTAATGACGAGATCGGCATAAATGTGCTATTTAAACTATTTCTATGTTTCACAATAATATAGCAGTAATTTAATTGTTCAGTTTCGGCATTGATTAAATATTGTTCGAGTAACCTTTACTATGAATCGAAGAAAATACAGTATCTTGATTGATAAATCAATGGTGTCCTCTTTTTAGAGCCAATATGCCCTTTTATATTAGTATCTCAGACTCAAGATTGGTTTGGTGTCGAAGATCGTAAGATACCGATTGCATTAGGTGACTTCAATAATGACAATCAATTGGATATCATCATCGCTCAACGCGAGAATAAAACAATACGTATTTTCTTGGGATACGGAAACGGAGCATTTCCCACGAAACCAACGATATCGATAACATCTTCTTCTCTTTCATACTCCATTGCAGTTGGCGATTTTAATAACGATAGTTGGTTGGATTTTGCCGTTGCTAATTATAATGACAATAATATAGGCATTTTTCTTGGCTATGGTAACGGAAGTTTCGCAAATGAAAATACACACTCAACGGGCTCTTCTCGTCCACTGTCGCTCTGGATTTATGATTTAAACAATGACAAAAAATTAGATATTGTTGTTGTTAACAATGGTACGAACACTATAGGTATACTTTTGGGAACTGGTAATGGAGATTTTACTAAGCAAATGACATTTTCAACTGGCTTTGATTCTCTTCCTCGTGCGGTCGTCGTTGGTGATTTCAACGGTGATACTCGACCAGATATCGCCGTCGCCAACTTTGGCACTAACACTATTGGAGTTTTTCTTGGATATGGCAATGCGAATTTTTCAAATCAAATAGTATCTCTAACAGTTGGTCATCCTGTCTCGTTGGCCTTTGGTGATTTGAACGACGACACTCGATTGGATATCGTTGTAGCCAACTATGATAGTAATATACAAATTCTTCTTGGAAATGGCAACGGAGCATTCACAAGCGAAGCTACCTACACAACAGACTTCGGTTCTCATCCTAGTTCAGTAGTTATGTGCGACTTCAACAAAGACGGTCGACTCGACATTATAGTCACCAACACTGGCACTAACAATCTAGGTCTCTTTCTCGGTCGTGAAGATGGAAACTTCAAAAACCAACGGATATATCCTATAAATAACGGAGCTCTACAAAGAGTCGACACTGGAGATTTGAACAATGATACTTGGATAGATGTCGTTGTTGCTATTGATAGTTCTTATAATGTGGGTGTCTTTCTTGGAGGTCCAGATAAAAACCTTTTCAATATAAAGACATATTCAACTGGTGGTCTATCTAATCCGTATTCAGTTGCTGTGGGCGATTTTAACAATGACACGCGACTAGATGTCGTCGTAGTAAATTATGGCAAAGATGAAATAGGTGTGTTTCTTGGACAAGGAAACGGCAATTTCGATGCAAGAAAGACATATTCAACAGGGTCATATTCTAGGCCAGGATCAATCGCCATCGGTGACTTTAACAGCGATAATCGACTTGATGCCGTCGTGGTCAATTTTGGCACTAACGAACTCGGAATTTTTCTTGGAGATGGCGATGGAAGTTTTACAGATCAAAAAACATATTCTACTGGATGGAATTCTCAGCCTAAGTCGGTAGCCGTTGGTGATCTTAACAGCGACAATCAGTTTGACATTGTCGTCGCTAATGTTGGCACTGACAACCTAGGAATTTTTTTTGGATATGGGGATGGAAGTTTTACAGATCAAAAAACATATTCAACAGGTCTGAGTTCTCAACCAACTTCGATTGTCATGGGTGATTTGAATAATGACACTCATCTGGACATCGCTGTCGCTAATTCTGGTTCTAATACCTTAGGTATTTTTCTTGGGCATGACAATGGAAGCTTTTCTGATCAAATTGAATATCCAACAGGATCGAGCTCAACGCCGAATGCGATCTCTATTGGTGACTTTAACGGCGATAATCGACTCGATGTCGTCGTCGTGAATTCTGGCACTAACAATCTAGGTATCTTTCTTGGAAATACAGACGGGTCTTTTTCTAATCAAACTGAATATCCAACCGGAGAGAGACCCAGGCCGAATTCAATTACTGTTGGTGATTTGAATAATGATACCAAATTAGATCTTATCGTAGCTAATTACAACGATAATAATATAGGGGTGTTACTTGGAAAAGGTGATGGAAGCTTTTCAACTCAAACATCGTATTCCACTGGATGGGATTCTTTTCCAATTTCAGTCGCTCTTGGTGACTTCAACAGCGACAATCGATTAGATATAGTAGTTGTACTCTATTTTTATTTCTCTATAGGTATCTTTATTGGATACTATGATTGGCCTTTTACAGCTCCTGTAATGTATTCAAGTGGTTCACTTTTGACACCGTTCGCACTTGCTGTAGCAGATTTTGACAATGACAATCAGTTGGATCTTGTTGCCACTGATTATAATGACGGTAGTTTAGTAATTTACCAAAACTTTGTCAATGGAACTTTTCCAAATTCTAAATTATATTCAACTGGTTACATCACTGGTTTGTATTCTATTGCAGTAGGCGACTTCAATAATGATCTTCAAGTCGATGCCGTGGTTGTTAATTATGATAGTGACAATATTATCTTTTTTCTCGGATACGGCAATGGAAGTTTTGGGAGCGTTATATCATACACAACTGGACTGGAATCTGGTCCTTGTTCAGTTGTAGTTGGTGATTTCAATAATGATAACCGATTGGATATTGTTAATGCCAATAATCGTGATAACAGCATAGTTTTATTTCTTCATTATGGCTTCGGAGCATCTACAAATAAAAAAATATATTCAACTGCTTCTGATAAACCGTTACGCTCGTCTGCATATGGAGATTTCAATAAAGACAGTCTATTGGATATGGTTATAGCTAATTACGAGAGCTTCACTATAACTGTGCTTCTTGGCGATGGCAATGGTGGTTTCTCGAATCAAACTACATACTCTACCGGATTTGGATCTTATCCGTTCTCCGTTGCAGTTGGCGATTTCAATAGCGATGGATGGATAGACATCGTTGTAGCCAATACGTTGACTTTCAATATAGGTATATTTCTTGGAACTAGTAATGGAAGTTTTTCCGAACAAACTATATACCCAACGGGACCAGATTCTAAGCCAACAACGGTTGTTGTTGGAGATTTTAATAATGACAGCCGATTGGACATCGTTGTAACCAATTATGGCGGTTACAGTATAGGTGTCTTTCTTGGCAATGGTGACGGGACCTTTTCAAATCAAACAGAATACTCAACTGGCTATTATTCATGGCCATGGGGAATCACGATTGGTGATTTCAACAACGATGATCGATTGGATGTTGTTGTCAGTAATCAGTATGGTTACAGTATTGGTGTATTTCTTGGAAATAGGAATGGGAGTTTTTCAAATCAAATCGAATATCCAACTGGAGAAAACTCTCTCCCTATTGGAATTGCAGTTGGTGACTTTAATAATGACAATCGAATGGACATTGTTGTGGCCAATTATGGTAGTGACAATGTAGGTGTATTTTTTGGTACTGGCAATGGAATGTTTTTGACTCAAGTCACGTATTCAACTGGTTATGTATCTGGTCCATATTGGGTCACCGTTGGTGATTTTAATAAAGATGATCAATTGGATATTGCTGTTACTCTTTCTCTTTCTGACAAATTAGCGATTTGCTTCGGAGATCGAAATGGAACATTTAGTAGTCCAACAACATTTGGAACTGGTACTTCAACTTATCCGTGGCATTTGATAGCTGCTGATTTTAATCATGATAACTGGCTTGACGTAGCCATCGTCTTCGGAAATGTTGGTGGTGTCATTGTACTATTGGGGAACAGAAATTTAATATTTCTAGTACCTATAAAATATTCAACTGGTCGAAATTCTGCTCCACAAACTATTGTCGCTGGAGATTTTAATAATGATAAACATTTAGATATAGTTGTGACAAATAGTAAGAGTAGTAATATTGGTTTATTTCTCGGATATGGTGATGGACTCTTTTCAAAGCAGCTAACATACTCCACTGGCACTGATTCACAGCCATGGTCAGCTGCTGTTGGTGATCTTAACAATGACACTCGACTTGATATTGTCGTAACAAATCGTAATAGTGACAGTATAGGAGTTTTTCTTGGACTTGGAAATGGATCGTTTAGCAATGTCACAATTTATTCAACCGGTTTGCTTTCTGATCCAATATCCATTGTTATTCTAGACTTTAACAGGGACAACAAACTAGACATTGCTGTTGCCAATAGTGGTGCCAACAGTATTAGCATATATCAAGGATATGGTGATGGAGTCTTTTTAAGCCCAATGACATACTTAACTGGTTATAATTCTCGTCCAGTTTGGATCGTCATTGGTGATTTCAATAAGGACGACTGGATGGATATTGCTATAGCCAGTTTAGATACAAAAAACATAAAAGTTCTTTTGAAATCATGTTAATTTTTTTTACATTTATCTACTGTGTATTCTTTACTCTCAATAAAAATTGAATGTTCTGCATTTATATACTTTTTCATACAGTAATAATTGTATTTCGAAAAAATTATGTTCTTGAGATGAACAGTTAGCGAAGGACACAAAAGTGATATTATTAGAAATCGATTAACATCAGGAATGGCGTAAATCCTTTTCTGCACGACCAGTTGCATGTATTACTAATTAAGCATAAGTTGTTTGAGTTTAAACTTTCGTATTATAGCACCATTGTTTTTTTTTCTAGTTTTGGAATATAACCATAAAAATACATAGGCCAATTCAAAAGTAGTGGCACTGACATTTTCTCAGCATTAATCCTAAACTGATGTCATGATAGGAAAATTACGGATAAAAAGTATTTGTTATGACATATAACGATAACATAATATCCTATTTCTCTTTGATAGATATCCACTTGTTGATGTTCTTGTTATTCGCTGCTCCCTTTCTTCCTTCCATTTTTCTCACATCGTGTTTGATACCTAGTCTTCTATTCGCATCCATATAGAAAGAGAAGAGAACAGAAAGAACTTTAGAAGAAGAAGGGTGGGGGTGTGGGGGTGTGGGTGTGTGGGTGTGGGTATGGCGTGTGTGGGGTGTGGGTGGGTGTGTGGGTATGGGTGTGTGGGTATGGGTGTGTATGGGTGTGGCTGGGGTGTGGGTGTGGGTGGGGTGTGTGGGTGTGGATGTGGGTGTGGGTGGGTGGGGGTGTGGGTGTGGGTGGGGTGGGTACTGCTCTTCCGCTGTCTTACAGCCACAGCCTCAGCCACACCCACCCATACCCACACCCGCACCCAGCCACACCCATAGCCACACCAACACGCACACCCACACCCACACTCCACACCCCACGCACACACACCCACACCCACACCCACCCATACCCACACCCGCACCCAGCCACACCCATAGGCACACCAACACGCACACCCACCCCCACCCACACTCCACACCCCACGCACACACACCCACACCCACACCCACCCATACCCACACCC